CACGAGCACGGCCACCACGAGGAGCACCACCACGCCCACCACGAGGACCACAAGCACGCCCATCGCGAGGACCACCACCACAAGCACGGGCACGAGCACAAGCACGGGCACAAGGAGGAGCATCACCACGGGCATCACGAGGACCACCATCACTCCCATCACCAGGAGCACAAGCATCACCACCACGAGGAGCACAAGCACGGGCACGAGCACAAGGAGGAGCACAAGCACGGCCACGAGCACGAGCACCACCACCATCATCACGAGGGACACCATCATCGCGAGCATCACAAACACCACGCGTCCCACGAGCACAAGCACGGCCACGAGCACGAGGAACGTCACAAGCATTTCGACGAGCATGGTCACAAGCATCGTCACGAGGACAGCCACAAACACTCGGAAGCCCATCTCCACTCCGGTTACGAGCAACACGAGCACTACAAGCAAGGACAATTGGGACATTACTTCGACGCATCGCAGAATCACGAGGAATACGCGTTTCCGGAGGAGAGCGAGACGCCCCGAGTCGAGGATATCCTTAAAATTAAGAAGGAAGGGGGGGAGGAGAAGCGGAAGGGAGCACCACCGAGCGAGCCACGACGACGGACGATCGAGCATAATCGTTCGAACGAAAATCCTTCCCTTCCGAAAAAGACTTCAAGACTCGTTTCGCTTGCGTTCGACCGCGTTCCAGCGTTTCGTTCCCTACAAATTGTTTCTCGTCTTCTTCTTAGCCTCGAGTTATATCTTTGTTGACACCTTTTACACGAAATACACGAAAGTTTACACGAGTGTTTGATGATTGCCTCGCCCTCCCTTCCATCCGAGCCTCGTGACTCGTTTCGAGAGACGGAAGTTCGACGGATACAACTACGACGGTTTCTCGTTTTCGAAACTACAATAACGTTTAAACTTCGGTCTCAAGATACTCGCGAGCCTTCGTCTCCGACTCGACGATATCTTTCCCATTCCGGGCAGGGAAGGTTGGAGGGTGGGAGGGGGAGGGGGAGGGGGGGAGGAAATCACGGGGGAAATAAAGGGAGAAATCGAGTACGAAAAGCTCGGTCTTAACGAAACGTCCGAAAATTTAACATCCGGCCGTTATACGGGGGGACAGGGGGGGGGGGAATTTTGTAATTGCAAAAAAAACCGGGAGGGGGAGAGGAGGGATATCGGCTCGAGGTAGGCAACGCGATTCCTCGAAGAAGAGTTTCACAACAAACTTTCGTAATCCGGCGAAACAATCCTTCTTCTTCGACGATTCACCGATTTTGAACGACTTACGCCGACAGTTATAATCCAACCAGCCCCGAAGTTTGCAACCTCGATCGAGAATCTCGTTGGACGCAACACTCCCCCCTCCCCGAGAGGATGATGGAATTAACCGTACTCCGGAGGAGAGCGGAATTGCCTCGAAAAACGAGAAAAGACGTGGACGGGAGAGGGGCAATCTTCGATTAATTATCCGAGTGAAGTTGAGTTGGGAAGAAAAAGAGAGAGGGGAGGGGAGGGGAGGGGAGGGGGGGGAGGAAAAAAATAACGAATAAATTAAACGGAAGGACTCGTTAATGGAGAGCTGGGGGACATTTTCGAGAAAATCTTGTCCCTTGCTCTCCACTCGACTTGACTCTCCTTCCTTCCTTCCTTCCTTCCTTCCTTCCTTCCTTCCTTCTTTCTCCTCGTCGACGCGATTAATCTACGTGGATAACAAATAATATTATGCTCCGTTAAACTTTCGGATCTTTCGAATACGCGTTACTACTACCAACAAACGAAGGAAACGTGGATCTTTGCTACTCGTTTCAACCATAATATTATCAACTAATTTCCATTGATTGAAGGAAAATATTTCGGGACGGGTGGATCGTAGGTTGTAGGACCGTTTAAATTCTTTCGAAATTGAAACTTTCGAGAGATCCATCTATCCATCCGGATGGAAACGCATCCGCGTGAAATTTGGTCGGAAAACAATAATAATAATAATAATAATAATAATAATAATAATCATATCGAGAAGCAAAAGTTCGTCGTTTCTATCTTTCTATCTCCGGCTAAAATATTCGTGTTGTTGTTTCTGAATTGAACGATAGATGTGGGCGAAGGACACGATAAACGTAACAACGGGGAGAAAACACGTTTTCAACGGAAACGGTATCGGGGTTCGCCGCGCAAAACGTTAATATTTTCCAGGCCGAGTTTGATCTTGTTTTCCCGACCTCGATCAGAGAGAGAGAGAGAGAGAGAGAGAGAGAGAGATAAAAGGGAAAACTTTTCGAAAAAGAGGAATCAAAAATCCTGAGCTCGAGGTAATTTCCATGCGTATTCTTATCGTCGAGATATTTCGATGCAAGATTTTTTTCGAAGACGATTCGCTTTTCCGCCTTTCTCCACGTTCAATTTTTTTCTTTTTGGAATTTAATTTCGAACCACGTCTAAACGATTCATCGTCGAGGAACCGGTGAAATACCGGCGGAAAAAGTCGGCAGCGATTCAACTAGAAATTCAAATATCTGAAATTTCACCGTTTCCCCGCTCGACCAAACGGACGGAAAGAAAAATTCATCGCCGTGTACACTCTTCGATCCGTTCGATCTTTGAGAAAATTATAAGAGCACGAACGAGAGAGAATTTTCTTTCCCCTCCGAGAGGGAAGCGTCGCATCGTAGATCGAGCGCATCGATTTTCGCAAGAAAATTCGCAAAACTGTGAGAGGCGAATGTCTGCCGGCGAAATGGGTTAATAAATCGTTGGCCGTGATAGATTCTCTGGGGAAAGAAAGGAGGAAGAGGGGGGGGGGTTAACCGGAAGAAAAGTGAAAAAAAAAAAAGGAAGAAGGAAGAGAGAGGGAGAGAGAGGGAAGGCACCATGTTGGAAGTTAAATTGGCCGAGCAGGTTTATCAGCATGCATTGGCCGCCTCTCGGAAAACGATGCTTCTCTTCCGATTCGAGGTACATAGAGACGCGACGAAAGATAAGGCGGAGAAAACTCTCTTGCTCGTGGATGGAAGATAGAAATTTCGCAACAGCGTCGAGCAGGCGTAAATCGTGGCTCGAACGAAGAAGACCGGCGAGGATGATGATTCGAGTGGCCCGTTACCGATTCCCCGCGAATCTCCACGCACAGGATTTTTATTCTTTCCCTTCCCCCCTCCACGCGCGTCGATCGCGCCCGCCATTTTCGTTCGAAACGGCTCGATTCGATATGAGATATCGAAATCGAATGGAACCAACGTCAACGTCGCTTCCTCGTCGTCCTATCAATTTCTCCTGCTCCCCCTCTGCCCCCCTAAACGCGCCTCGTTAAAATCTGATCGATTCGCAGCGCGCGATCTCTCCATTTAATAGCCCGTGCGAAACTCGTCGCGTGTAACGACGAAAAATCGAGCGCGCTTTTATCCCGGGCGGAAGCAAACCGAGGAGGATCGTTTCGAATTTATCTCGTCTCTTTCGGGGAAAAAAAAGAAAAAAAAGCGAATTCGAAAAGCGAGTTTTAATCTAAATCGGGCCGAGTTACAAATCGTTTTCCCGTTTCGCTCGTTAAAGGAAACGCGTCGCGTCGATAATTCAACGTGCTTCCGCTTGTCCAAGACTAAGAATCCAACAGTCTCCCTGTTAAACGGGCCGTGCCCCTTTCCATAGATCCATAGATGTTTCGGAACGGAAAACCGGGAGAGTAAGAGACGGTTCGGAAGGAATAGGACGAAGAGAAATAGGAGAATAAAGGGACTAACGAACCGAGAGATGCATCTGTAAGTGCCATTTCCAAATACCAATTTCCAATTGTTAACAACCATTGTTAACAATCGCGGTTGAATTTGTTGATGGAACGTGAAATACGTACGTTTACATCGTGGAATACGATATCTCGAAAAGTTTGATAAATATCTCGCGATTCGTTCTCTTCTTTCTCTTCGAGAGGATAGATTGCGAGATTCGTTTGTTCCCCCAAAGTGATTAAAAGACTTTTCTTATTACATATGGAAAAACTCTGTGGTGGCAAGTAAAATTATATCCGTTCGAGGCACTTCACTCCTTCACGGCTATCTTCGCTTCGGGGAAGAGTGACGGTGATCGGGCCGGGAAATCACGGGAGGAAATGCGAAAGGGAGAGGGGAAGGAGCGTGGAATTGGGAGGGAAGAAGAAAAAACTAGTAGAAATACAGATCGAGAGAGAGAAGGAGACAGGGATGACCGGTGATACCGTCCAATCTAATTTCAAAGGGTTACGTTCGACGCGATGGCGTACACCACGGCGGAGAATTTTCACCGATGGAACGGAAACAGGATGAGGAGGAAAAGAGGGAGAAAGAGAGAGACAGTTGGAAAAAGCGAGAAAAATCTATGCCACGAATAGAAACTTCCTACCGGAAGTTCCTCTTTATTCTCCTCCTCTCTCCTCTCTCTCGACTTCCCTATCCGTCTAAGCGCTGCGTTTCCGCGAGAGTAAATTCATTTTCAGCCACGGTTGGAAAAAAAGAAAAAAAAAAAAAAAAAGTCTGTCGGCCGGTGATTTGAATTTAAGAGTTCCCTCGTGAAATCGTATTACACGGTGCAACCGTAAGGCCGCCCACTCGAGGAAATCGGAAGTAAGCGCCGCTGCACGCGAGAGAAAAACGGACGAGGGAGGAGGGATGAAAGGGTATATATATATATATATATGGTGGCCGCGAAGAGAGCCGAGAATGAAAAGAAACGACGATTCGTTTCGCGTAGAGGGGAAAAAAAATACGCGGTGGATAGAAGAGATGGACGATAAACGATATCTATATTTAGCCTTTGAAACGAGCAACGAGCGTTCGCGATTCTATTTCAATTATGCGACGATACGTGGATGATACTTGGAATGCGAAAGAAAAGGGGTTCTCGTTTGCGCGGGAATTCTCTCCGCATCCATCGAGCGCTCTCCTTGACCGATCTCGTCGAGTCTGGAGAGAGAGAGAGAGGAGGGGGAGGGGGGGGGAGCTCAAGTTGCCAGTCGAC